CGCTCAACCTTTTGATCGTCAGTTTCTAGTTCGCATACGGTAAAGATGTCGTTATATTATTTAGAAGAGACAGGCAAAGGAAAAAACGTAGGTGCTAAGGAAGCAGGAAGGATTTAGTAACGTTAATTTCTATTCTTAGATAACTTCAAACTTTAATCTCTTTAACATGTGACCATAAACGTCATAGGATAAACTCCAATTTTAGTATTGATTAAATACTAACATTCAAGCAACTCTGCCGCAAATAATAAAAACGAGCAGGAGCAGCGACGGACGGCGAAAGCTATACTCACGTATATAGTTACTGTGTGAAAACATGACTATATCTAGCGACTTAAAATATTTACGGCGACATCGGTAAAGAAAAGCACACAAACCTGGAGGACCCGCATTTGCGACTCTGCCTTTGTCAGACGAAATAAGTATTCATTAGCCCGCTCGTCGACTTCAGCTTCTAATCGTTTGGTGTGGGTTTCAATCGCTTTGATAAGGGCAGCCGCGCGCTTTTTAAGGGTGTCTTTAACAGCGGCAACACTTGTACGAAGACTGCCTGATTTGGAAGAGGCACGCGAAACGAGCTGTGATGAATCCGACAAAAGTTGTAATTTCTCTTCGAAAGACGAGACAGTTTCAGCGAGGGAAGGTTTTAACAATTCGGCTTTTTCTCCGACCCATCGATGACCACCATGCTCACGGTGGACGGAAAGCTGGCAGTCACGACACGTCAGTACTCCACACGCTTCACAGAACAACTCCAACGATTCGCGGGGATGTATTTCACATCTTAAATCTAGATAAAAAACCAAAAAGTTGCGGATACGTTTAAAAGCCCAAGCAGCAAAACAAGAGGAAGCAAATTTTGAACGTATTTTTATGCTAACAGTATTGATAGGATTCTAGAGCAACAAGAAGCGTGCAAATATTCAAAAGAGCACTAAGACCCAGACACTTTACAGTCGCCAGGAGATGCGTAGAGGTGAGCTTGGTCAGAAATATTAAATACAAATAGCAGAATGACAGCTCACTGCTGCAGACAAGGTAGAGGGTGGGACGCAATACGGAGTTTGCTTTTAGAATACCACATTTTCGGAAGTCATGTAGACAGTGAGCAACACAAATTGAAAGCCGGATTGCATGAGAATATGTGGTAGAAAGAAGTGAAGTTAAATGAAAATGTGTGTAAGGAGACAGTAAACTTAATTTAGTTTGCCGAGTAAGAGCGTTTCAACACTAAACAAAGGGAAAATCGGGCAAATATAACTTACTGGTATCCGAAGTGTCCACAAATATTGTAACTTTGTGAGATCGTAGAGGAGGCATTCTGTTATGTCCTTTAATGCATTCTGGACAAAGCCATTGCTTGCATTGTTCACAATGACCAGTTGATGCATTCATCTCTCCGCCCTCAGTGCACCAAGCACAGTTGGGCGTCTTGTTCCGAACGTTAAGCTTGCATAACACACTGTTGAAGATAAACTAAGAATTAAAAACGAGAACGGCAAGTACTTTTTCGCTGACTTCGTTACATTTTACACACAAATATCCCTCAGAAACGGCCAGTTTATCCTTGCAATTATTGCAAAACGAATGAAGACAACGAGATAGGATAAAATAGGCGTCCTGAGTTTCACATGCGAAACACGCAAAATTTTTAGATAGATTATTAAAATTTTCGGCGCTTGAAGACGTCTCGTTCGTACGCACGTTGCCAGGGACGCTAATAATCGGCGGCGAGCTCGACACGTCCATTCGGCACGACTATCCAATTCAAAAAATTGCGGTGTTTTCTGTTACTAAAAACAAATGATTGTATCGGATTTTGAAAAAAGTTATTTTCAGCTTTCTTTTTGTCCAACAGCACACTCGGATGAATAAAGTGTATTCCGGTGATCGAATCGTCTTCTCCTCAATCGCACTCTCCCACTCCTCCAAGGTCAGACCACCGTCCGGATCGGTTAGTTGTCTGGTGCAGGGTGGGCGCAATGGCTGATAGGGCCAGCAAACCTGTCTGTACGCGGTATAC